ACAACCGCTTCTTTTTACAGATTTAAGTCAGTATTGCACAATGTTTCCAGTTGACCAGCTACAGCGCTTTCAAGTAATCAACCCTGACCATAAATTCATCAAGCCTTGGTGGGATACCTTTACTGATTACATTGCTACAGCCTTGTTGATGATGGCCGTACTAGCAGGGGTAATGCAAGCTACACAGAGGGACCTGGTCTGCGTCCCTGCTATTGACTGTAGCTTAAGCCATAATCAGAGCTTTAATCACAGCGGCGTTTGTCAAGGTAATCGCGGAAATTAGTGAAATCAAATAGAGATGATTTTTTGTGGCATACCGTATTTGCTAATAGATCGAGTGACGGTTTTTAACCATTTTGTTTAGGTAGGCAAAGTCTCGCAAAATAACAAGTAATTTCTGGGGTCATCGGCGCGTGACGCGCGTGAAAAATAAAAATGAATAATGTATGGAGAACAAAAAATGAGTTTACTCGCTCCATAGATCAACTAAGTACTTCAAAACTCGTCAGTTAACTTTTTTTCGTAGTATCTAATGTTTGAAATTAATGATTCAGAATAGGAATTCAACTGGAATTTTTTTACATTGATTTGGCTCACACCGTATCCTTGTTATTTTGCGACATTTTGCCTACCCAAACAAAATGGCGCTCAAAACCGTCAACTCAACTATTATACTTTTATGTATACATCTAGGTAGCAAGTCGACAATGCTGCTGAAATTACCAGACAGACGTCTATACGACTATGTTGAGAAAGTGTGTGGTCGCACGGCGGTTCACTGGTTTGTAGCTTACTTTCCGTTTATAATTTYCCTCGAGGCAATTATTCTTATTGTTGTTCAAAACTTTTGGTTAAAGTACCCGGGGACAGCTTCAATCATAGATCAGTTCKTGTCATTGGTCATTGAATGTTATAATATGACGTGGACAAGTTCAGCTCTCGAGAATGCTATATATGAAGTAAACATGTATGAAGAAAATGAAAGACGTAGGGGAGACATTTCTGAGACAAAGAATACATCAACGTCTGCCACTGCGTCCCTTGACATAATGGAAGGTATCAAAGCTAAAGCACTTTATGAAAAAGTTGATCAATTTAGAAAAAGTTGTTTACCTTCTTTTACTGGTATCTTTAGAAAAATATTTTGGATTCATTTGTTTCAAGTAATACTACAATTAGCTGCTTCCATCGCTACTTTTGATGTTAATATCTATTACCTGAGTACATTTAATAATAATATGATATGTAAAATTGATGATATTATAGATAAAAACTACAGCTATTTTAAATGCACTAATGGCATAGTTTCCTATTTGGAAGTTACAAACATAACATTTTGCATTCTGATTGGATTATATTTCATTTTTTGCTTTTGCAATTTAATTTTTTGCGTATGGACTTTTATGACTAAAAGGTTCAGGGATTACAATGGAGATACAAATGTAGATATGTGCTTTCTTCTTTGTCTGCTGAAAAAGTGCAATAAGTTGCATTTTGTAAGATTTAGAGTTTTTTTAACTGTGGAGATGAAACAGGAGACAGAAAATGAGATATTGATGATTGACAAATGGCCTTCGAAAAGGTTTAAGAAAATTGCTGAAGACGATGGCCGAGCTTTACAGCTCTTTAACGTAGATGATACTACGAAAACAATCTTCAAAACGGAAGAACTCAAATTCCTAAGACTGGAGAATTGCAATGTTTACGGCTACTTGCTCCACAATCAATTGCACAATGACTTTTGGAAGTCGATAGACTCCTTATCTATAGTATCGTGTGGCCTATATTACGTTCCAGACGTTATTCTAACAAGAATGTGGTCTTTAGTCAAGTTAGATTTGTCTCACAACAAAATCAAAACAATTCCTAAAAACATTGGTCAAATCAAATTCTTACGCTATTTAGACATTTCATATAACAATATTTCCGAAGGAATAGACAACCTCTTACAAATGCAGACACTTGTCAAATTAAATCTACGAGGAAACGACTCTATCAAGCTGAACGAGGATCACCTGCAACAAGAGATAAATCTAATGAAATTAGAAATCAGCGACGATGTGCTAGAGGAAACTTTCATGATGACTGAAGAAATGTCATCAAAGCTTGAGAATATCATCGTAACGCTACCAGAGAATGACTTCGTTATCAAATATTCGTTAGAAAGAGCTCCTATTATCGAAGATATGAGAAAAAATAGGCAGTGCTATAATATGACTTCAAACCCGAAAGGTGTGGTTGCAATTATCGACACGACGGCGGATGGAAATAAGTACGAAAACTTAGAAAGAGTATTCAAAGAAATTGGTTATAATGTCGAAAAGGTCCCACAAGATAACGTCAGCACAATTAAATCGCTCGAGAAAACGCTATCGGACTTGTTTCGCGGATATGATTCTGCAATCTTAATAATGACCGCTGAAGGATATATAGATGGATTGTATCTTGGAGATGAGCTAGTGGACATAGACAAAATTTACAAATGTCTTCCAAAAAACGGTCTAAAAGGAAAGCCAAAGCTCATATTCTTGCAAGTAGATTCAATAGCAAAAAACCCTGATTATATTTACAAGCCATCGAGAGCTTTCACATATCCCGATACGTTTATTGCCTATACAGTCTTCTATGAATTTCAAGGAGCTAACCAGTTTTTCGAAACATTGGTTGAAGTGTTTTCGAATTATGCTTGGGAAGAAGATTTTCTCAGTCTCATGAAATGTGTTAAGTATGAATTGTCTCGTAAATTCAGAAACAAAGAATACGAACACTTCTATGCTCCCAAGATTGGTGGCCTGAAGAAGAAATTGTACTTTTTCCCAGGGTACTATGACAATAGAGTGCGGATTACGAATGTATGATTATGCAGTCGCAGAGGGATTGCCAAGTGTGCTACTTTACACATATAGTTTGCTTCAGGCAATTAGTGGTTGCGTGTTCATTATTGCCACTTAGAGTCATTTTCATCCGTGTGTGAAATAGGAATTGTAGTATTAAATACTATTACCCCCTATTGCCTAATTTCATGGCGAGCGGGGGACTGGCACTACCGGATTTTGCCGGACATTTCTGATTCCAGATTCAATATGGCGGACGATAAACAAAGTAGTCGCAATTCTTCGTGTGCATGTGAYGTCATAGTCACGCAAAAAATCTCGCAAAATCCAAAATATTTTTGCTAAAGAGCTGTTCTTACAATATGTCTTAAATATATTTCTAGATAGTGTGTATGGAAATTTTCAGACGAATTCAACGCTTTGGTGGCGAATCACAAAAGTTTTAGTTTGTGCGGAGTTTAATTTATTCTACTTTTAGATCGTAAACAAAAACTTCGAAATTGGATAAATCATTCTTTCAACTCCGTAAGGACGTACTTAAGGTGATTTTTCTTTGAAATAAAGCCATAATTGAAAAAAATTTACAAAGGAAATCAAGGAAACCAGAGTTTTTGAAGTCAATTTGAAACCAGCCGCCATCTTGGATGATCAAAGCTATCATCCAAGATGGCGTCCCCATACAAATTAACCAAATATTTCAAATCTTTATTCGCTGATATCTTCATCAGAAAGTAAGCTGCAAGCCTTAAAGCTCGTATTCTAGATAACCTGACTATGCTCTTTGTGACTCGCTACTTGGTTTTTGAAAATAACGACTGATAAATTTTCACTTTGGGGGTTGCACACCAAGAATTGTTGGCACTGGTCTTGTGCCTCGAGATATTGTAAAAACTCATGGAAAACTCCAAATATCGTATATTACACCTTAACGAAAGTTGCTTCGGAGAGAAAGGTAGTTCAGGACGCTTATTTATCCGTTCTTGGAAGGCGAAAAGAGCAGGTCAACTTCAAAAGACAAGTG